AAGACATCAGCAGTCACTTTCGGTTCATGTGTATATATTCTGGGAGTGTTTGGTGCAGATGTCACATCTGGTGTGCAGCGTGGAACAGGAAAATGAGCGGGGTGACCAGAGTGGAGCAGATGGCACACATGGTATGTAACATGGGAACAATATAGCAGAAGGTGAGTGGGGACCGGAGAGAGAGGACTGAGCGGAGGAGGATCACCAGAGCAGGAGAAACTAGCAATGTCACCTGTGCTGCGCAGAGTGGGGGTGAGTGGGGACCAGAGAGAGGAGAAACAGTAAACCAGAGGATCAGCAGAGCTGGGGCTTACCGAGTAGGTGATCTGCTGAACCAGGGTACTAATAAGCTGGGGATTTGCTGAACAAGCATACTAATGAGCTGGGGATCCGCTGACTGGGGGAACTATTGAGCTAGGGTTCTACTGGGCCCCTTTAAAACAAAAAAAAATCAACACACACACAGGGCATTTGCCAAGCTTCATTAAAGTATCATTGAAGCATCAAAAACACGTAAAAAAGGCATGTCTAAGTAGTAGGTGCTTTATGTGTATTGAAGCCAAAGCAAGTGTAAATGAGCCCTTACTGTACAGTTTATGACACTTGTTAAAAAATCCAATCCGAGTGACAACTGCTCTCTATGTATAAAGTCTATGAAGACTGTTGTCACATGCGAACCCTCTAAAAACAAGCTGGAAAGAACATATATCCTGACTGCACTGGAAACTAAGGACAGGGAAATGTTCCTGCTCACCACTGCTAAAGCCAAACTAATAACCTTGCGGTGGGACTATCACTCCAAGGGTTAAATGCTCATTAGGTATAGTGGTTGAGAAGCTGTAATACTTTCCTAATTCCTCACTCCAGCAACTTTTTTTCATGCTGTGCATCCAGTCCCCTGCAGTCTCTTTAGTAAGACACTCTAGCCAGTGGTTATACACAAATGTAATCATATACACTGCAGAGCAATAGTCCTGAATTGTATGTGAGAGCAGCAAAGGGCCCACCCACATCCAGGAGAGTCAGAGAGAAGAGCACCAGCAGAGCAAAGAAGGAAGTATTATAGACTTTACTTCTACCCCTAGGCTTAAAGCTCATCTCCGGGTAATTTTTTTTTTATCCAATGCAGTGGGGCTGTGCTCATTTTATTCTAGGTGAGAAGAAAGCAGAGAGATACTTACCAAATCCTCCCCGAACAAGAGACCGGTTTGGCACCCCTGTGCTCTTGAATAGTGGACTGTCCCAGGCGTCATCAAGCCCAGAGCAGGCTCCATAGAAAATGTCCACCACTGGACCGTGGGGAAGCGCTGTTTTCAGGGGGATCGGATGAGTATAAGCTTTCTGCTCACCCCTAGACAAAACAAACAGTTGACCCATTCAATGCGGGCACAGCCCCACTTCATTGGAATTTTTTTTGCCAGGAGTTGGAGTTAAAAACTGATCTGTAGCTTTTAGTGAAGTTTAAATAGTTTGTTTAGACCAGTGTTTCTCAACTCCGGTCCTCATGGACCCCCCAACAGGTCATGTTTTCAGGATTTCCATTATTTTGCACAAGTGATTTGATCAGTTTTCACTGCCTTAGTAATTACCACAGCTGTTTCATCTGAGGGAAATCCTGAAAACATGACCTGTTGGGGGTCCATGAGGACTGGAGTTGAGAAACACTGATTTAGACCAAAGTGGACCAAACAAACTTTTCACTTCACTAAGTTATGCAGCATCTGAAAGCACTGTATAAGCTAAATGTAGCCTCAACTATATACAGTGCTGTGATCTGGAAGTGCTCAGTCCGGTCTAGACTAGCAATCAATGTGATCAATAGATCAGCTATGGCACTTATCACATGGTTTGGTTTCTAAATAGCAGTCACTGGAGTATTTATTTTTGTGTGCATTCTGTGCAAATACTAACCACAAAAGAGAGAAAAAAAAATATGTTTTTGGTCTGTTTTATTCCCCATGCACATGCAAAGGGAGGTCAAGGAACAGCATACTCTTTCAACATACAATAGGCCACTGTATCCTTATTTTGGCATTTTGCATGAGCTCAAACACCCAGCAAATCTTGGCGTACCCCATAGTTATTGCATATAAAAGGTATCATAATGTACTTAAAATTCTTATTTATCTGTAAAGTGTAAGCAGGCCTTAAAAATTATATATACCACCATTCTCATTTCCTTAACCCTAAAGAGGAAGTAAAGCCTTTTTTAAACTTGTACCTTCAAGGAAGCCTTCAATAAGACTTCCCTGTAGGTAATGTGAATATCTCACCAACGCAAGTGCAATGCGTTCTAAATGGACTGCATATGTGAAAATAAGTATATCATTTAAAAATATGGCAATTGTTAAATACTTCAACTCAGATGTACATCTCCTTTAACATCACCTGCTGGCGCGTAAATCCAGCAGCAGTGATTCACCTATTACCCAGCCATGCGCAGTCGACCTTGGATAACCATGCAATCTTTCAATAAAGAGGGAAATACAAGCCAAAGAAGAGCAAACTCTCCAAGTCCCCATCACAACCTGATCATTGTGCACATCCCAATTTTACACATTTTTCCTCTACAATGCAAAGGCTCCTTTGAATTCTATGAAGTCACAGTGTGTGCCTTGGAAGCCTTTAGGCCACAATCTGAGCATTCAAGAAACACCAATACCCATGCTTTCGAGAAACAAAAAAAAAATGCACTAAAATGTGCAACATACTTGCGGTGTCATCATTTCTTAATGCAGGGATGTTAAATTTGTATCGGCCGACACCCAGGACATGTAATTCCGGGTGCCGGGCAGGTAGTTTTTTCCAACCTTTAGCCCTGCTGCGGGAAAGCAGCAGGGCTCACCTGTCTGGTGGAAGCATTCAGGCGGCAGCGCTGATTGCTTCCACACAGTGCCAGCTTCCCCCCCCCCCGGTGTGAACCTCCCCCAGCTATGTCTCCCGGGCCACCGCTTGCCCACCTATGGGCCCAGCTCACCACCGTTGGCTAGAGGGGAGGGACGTAGGAGAGCGGATATGTCCTCTCCCCTTCTGGTCCTGACCTTAGGATGTCACTTCCGGGTCCCCGTTGAGAGGTTCCTGCCCATGGAGGCCAGGAGAGAATGAAAAGCAGTGCGATGTGCACTGCATTACATTCAGTGGAGAAGAGGGGAGACATGCAGGGTCTTTTAAACCCTGGATGTCTTAAACAGAACCTGTCACCAAAAATCATTATACAGGGGACTTTGTCCCCTATGCAATGAAAAAAAAAGTTAAAAATAGTAATTTTTTTTGTTGTAAAAAATGAAATTTACACCCAAGCAGATAACATTCTCCCCCTACCCCCACATATACGCACAAACATAAAAGCATACGCTGGGGTGCCTACGCATGAAGACGTCGTTTGCAATACATGTTACATATCGCGTGCATGCCAGAATGAGAGCAATATTTCTAGCACCAGACCTCCTCCGTAACGCTAAACGGATAACCTATAAAGGGGCTTTAAAAGTGCCGCCTATAGAAAATATAGGGTACTAAAGTTCGTCACCATTTCTCGAGCACGCACAAATTTAAGGTTTGACAAGTTGGATATTTACTCAGTGCAACCTAATCTTTTATATTTTACAAAAGATAGGGTAATTTATTGCTTTTTTGTGCCCTAAAATTAACTTGTAGATTTTACTGAAATTTTGTAGTAATATGCGACATAAAAAAATTTAACTACCGCTATTTTATTCTACAGGGTCTCCGATTTTAGAAAATATATAATGTTTGGGGGCTTTATGTAATCTTCAGGCCAAAAATTATTTTTTCGTCTGCAGGGAAAGGGATAAAGGATAAGCCAGACACTCCCCTTTCCTGAGGAGCAGCCAATCGGTACTGGAGAGAGGCCGGGAGGGGAGGAGGAGATAAACAGCGCACTGTTAAAAATATTACACATTTAAGTTGTCATAAAGCCCCTTTTGTTTTTAAAAGCCCCAGACATTCACAAAATCACCTCAGATTTAAATACTGTTTTGGTTTAAAAAAAAGACCTGGCCGACTCTTCTTTAAAGTGGTATAAAAACCCAAAAGCAAACATTTATTATACTGCAGCTTACCAATTCTTAGATGTGATGGCTGTATTAGTTTCCTTTCTTAGGCTTTCTTTCTTCTATTTTCATCGGATGATCTGGCCAGTACATCTGTTGTTTTTCAAAATAAGCTCTTTTCCAGATGTATCAGTTTATAGGGAGGAAACAAACCATTTAACACTGGCATGGGTGCTTACAGTGATCAGATTTTATTTATGTAAAACCTTTATCTCTAAAGGAAAAAACGGTTTGCTGTAATTACTTGTGTTAGCTGGAGTACAGCTTCAATTTAAATCTGCTATTTTATCTAACGCTCCCCTTCCCCCAGATTGACAATTGTGCTGTCCAAATGAGAGTGAGGGCACTCTAATACAGGATGTGTGCTACTGGCCAAATCACCAGATGGTAACAGAGCCTACAAAAAAAGAAAACAAATGCAGCCACCACATCTAATGGTTGGTAAACTGCAATAAATAAAATGTTTGGTTTTGGGTTTAATACCAGATTAACCCCTCGCCTACACGGCACTTATACCCCGTTCCTGCCCAGGCCAATTTCCAGCTTTCAGCGCTGTCACACTTTGAATGACAATTGCGCGGTCATGCAACACTGTACCCATATGAAATTTTTATCTTTTTTTGTGACAGATAGAACTTTATTTTGGTGGCATTTATTCACCTCTGGTTTTTTATTTTTTCTTAAACCAAAAACCACTGAAAATTTTGAAAAAAAAAAAAAACTTTTCTTGGCTTTTGTTATAACATTTTGTAAATAAGAGATTTTTCTCCTTCACTGATGTGCGCTAATGAGGTTGCAGTGATGGGCACTGATAGGCTGCGCTGATGGACACTGATAGGTGGCACTGGTAGGTGGCACTGATGGGCATTGACAGGCATCACTGATGGGCACTGAAAGGCAGCACTCATATATGGCACTGATAGGCGGCACTGATAGGTGGCACTGAAAGGCAGCTCAGATGGGCACTGATATGTGGCATTGATGTGCACTGGTAGGCACTGATGTGGCATTGATGGGCACTGGCAGGTGGCATGGATGATCACTGACAGCTGGCACTGATGGACACTGACAGGTGGCACTGCTGGGAGCTACACAGATCATCAGGGCACACTGATCATCAGTGCCCTGATGATCAGTGCACATGTCCCTTCTGAGGGATGCCGATTACCGGCTCTCCTCTCCCAGCGTGACAGCTCGTAAGGAGAGAAATGCAGATAACCGGCATTTCCCTATTTACATGTGATCAGCTGTGATTGGACACAGCTGATCACATGACCGACCTGACATCTTCAGCTCTTTCTGTTGATCGGTGATCCGCTGTGTCCGAGGGACACAGCGCACCACCGATCGCCGCGCTGCGCACTCCTGGAACAGCGCATGCGTGGTTAAATTGGGACGACGTCATGTGAAGTCCTCCGAGAACAAGAGAACCGCCTTGCGCCAGTCATTACACTATATGGCGGGTGGGAGGTTAGGATACTACTATTACCATGTGATCCTAGGGACATACAATGATGATAAATAAGTACTATTCCTGTACAGGTGATCCGTGGAGTAAACCAGACAATACCAAGTATAAATCTTAATAAGCGAGTTGGCAAATATGCAGCACTGACACATCAGGTCCAAGAACACCTTGCCAGCCTAACCTACTTAGGAACTATAAGTCCCTGCAAGTACAGGCATATTAGTTACTCGACAGCTTATTACAGCTATGCAAAATATTTTATGTAATTAAAAACGAGTCTCTAATGTATATTTTAAAGCAGAACTAAGTCGCTTTAACAAAAAATCACCAGCAGGTAGAGATTTTCAGCAGAAGAGACATGCAAGGTATCTTTTGCCAAAAAAAAAAAACTTCTCCAGCTTTTTGTGTACACAGTGCATGCGTTGTGCAGCGCAGAGCCCAGCTGTATTCTGGGCATGCCAAGGATAAACCCAGATGCCGGACACGCTGTATGAACATGCAGGATTTACATCATCAGAGGATCTTTGGCTGATCCAAAAAAAATCAGCAGCAGCAGGGGACACAGCAGTGACAAGATCTTGGACCCCTAATCACTGGAGCACAGCACAGAAGGAGGTTGGTGTGTGCTACAATCTGCAAGTAAGTTGTGCATACTAACAGACTATTACTTCTGCTTTAAATATCCCCCAGAATACTAAAGCCTAACTCAGTTCAAAACGTTTGAGTTAGTTCTGGATAAAGCAGGGTATTGTTAGCACCTCTGTCAGGCTTCTAATGCTGAGTTACTTATTGTAGAACTAGACAAATCCCAGGAGCCAGGTAGCCAATGTTCCTTAAAATTACTGCTGGCCTCTAACGTTGAGGTTTTCTCTAGGTGTTGTCGATGGAGCTAGATCCTTAAAAAAAAAAAAAAAAAAAAAAAAAAAAAAAAACACACACAAAACCTGCTGGCTTCTGCATTGGAAAGACTGCATTTGCCCACCCCTGGCATATTTTCCTGTAATTACAGAAGACAATGACAAATCTCTCCAACTTGGGACACAGAAACAGATAAAAAAAAAACACATTTAGTAGAATGGGGAAGAGAACATTTGACAAATTTTTCTTCTGTTGATGTCTTCCTTGCCTGATACTTGCCCCGCCCCCTTTAAATTTTTGGTAAAGAAGAGCTCCAGTCTCAAAGTCAGCAGCAACAAATACTGTAGTTCCCCCCCCCCCCCCCCCCAAATGTGCCAAATGTAGCAGTGGAAGGGGGAGGGGAGATGCAAACAAGTGGCACTTCCCCTTTAGGGTGAAGCTCTGCTTTAAGGGCATCACAGGCAGAGAAGTGATGGTAAAACCTGAACATATCACTGTTCTCCTCCTTACCTGAACCATTAAGCAAAAAGGCTTTAAAATATTTTTAAAAATGGCTTAAAAACAGTGAGAAAAGCAGGAATGTTGATAGTACAAACGTCCTTCAGTCAGTTTATTACAATTTACATTTTATATTCACACTTTTTAAAGTAATAGTAAAGGGTTTTCTTTTCAGATAACAAACATGTCATACTTGCCTGCTCTGTGTAATGGTTTTGAACAGAGCAGCCCCGATCCTACTATTCTCAATCCCCTGCCGGTACTCCTGGCCACTCTAACCCCCCCCCCCCCCCCCCCCATAGATAGCCACATGCTGTGGGGGCACTTGTACTTGCTTACTCCCAAGCCCTGCTCTGTATGTCCTTAAGGGCTCTTTCACAGGAGCAGACTGGTCGGACCATACACTGTTCTCTATGGAGAGGCAGATGTAAAGCAACATGTGTCCATTTAAACCCGCCTGAATCCGATCTGCTAAAAGCAGATTGATGGGGGGGATAGGCATGCAGAGCAGCGGCTTGAGAGTGAGCCTGCTTGGGTGCCCCCATAGCCAGCTGCTTGCTGTGGAGGCAATTGGCAGGAGGGAGGGGCCTGGAGCATCACTAGGGGACCTGACTTTAGGAATATCGGGGCTGCTCTGTACAAAACCACAGAGAAGGTAAGTATAACATTTTTTTTTCTTTTATTGCCTTTAATATGACTTTAAAGTGGAAGTAAATTCTGCCTTACAACTGCTGCTCAGTTACAAGCCGATTTCACATTCTCCTTGTTGATGTATTCAGACTCCTCAAGTCTTTCTGGTTCTGAGTTATTGATGTTTTTTCCTAAGGTCACTTGCGCATTCCCAATATTGAACACGTTCTGGCCAAGCCATGCTGTGAAGCATGATGTAACCACGTATCTCTGGCACAGAGACTCACTCTGTTTACTTCCCTAAATCGCCATGTGACTGTGCTATTTCAGTACACCACATTATTCACATTTTGGTTTTCTTTTGTAAATGTTATTGGGAGTGTACAAAGTAACGCTCCATTTAGGTCTTCACACTGCAATGTTGATTGCACTGCAGTGAACTGAAGTACCAGCTGATGCGTGCGGAAAATGGAGCATGTCTGCTTTTTATACACTGAAAAATCACACCAGCATTGCTGTATGATACAGGGCAAATAGAAAACAATTGTTTCCAGCATATCTTTGCTGTGAATGGTGATGATCAGGTGCAGGAAAACGCACATGGTGGGAACAGGCAAGTTTTCTGGATTGTGGGAGGCAATACACATTAACCCCTTGACGCCGATCGCACGCAAATATGTGGCCTCTCGGCATCTGGGCTTTGACGCCGAGTGACCACATATTTGCATGCAAATAGAAAATACATATGTGCTGGGAGCGCGTGCCCTGCATGCTCCCAGCACATATGTCCGCCACTCCCGGAAAGGTCCCGATCTCCCCTTTCGATCGGGACCTTTTCCGATCATGTGACTGCCGTGACGGCGAATCACAGAAGTCAACCCCGCCCCGCCTCCCAGCTTCTGAAACTCTTAAAGGGCCGGGAGGCGCCGGCGCAAAGAGGTTAAAGTGGTTGAAAAGCAGGGCTTGACAAATTTGGGGCCAGCTAAAAAAAAAAAAAAGTTAGGAGCCAATTTTTTTATTTAGCGCGGCGTGGGTTGTCAGTGCCCAGGGCAAGGCAACTTTTGTGCAACAATCTTCACACGATGTGATTTGCTGTGCAATAAACTGCACCATGTTTTACTTGCCATGGAAAATGCCATGGAAAATAATGGCACCTGCGCCTCCAATCACACCTGAAAATGCCAAGGTGTGAATGGAGCTGTCCTGGTTCACACACCTGCGATTCCAGATGCGTTTTCAAACTCACGGATTTGTATGACAGGCTAGATATTATGTGTTCCTTAAGGGCCCTTTCACACGGGCAGACTGGTTGGACCATACACTGTTTTCCATGGACAGGCAGATGTATACGAACATGTGTCCATTTACACCAACCTGAATCCGATCTGCTAAAAGCAGATGGATGGGGGGATAGGCATGAAGAGCAGCGGCTTGGGAGTGAGCCTGCTTGGGTGCCCCCATAGCCAGCTGCTTGCTGTGGAGGCACTTGACAGGAGGGAGGGGCCTGGAGCATCACGGGGACTAAGTTTAGGAAGATCGGGGCTGCCTGTGCAAAACCACAAAGAAGGCAAGTATAACTTTTTTTTTTTTTTTAATTGCCTTTAGTAAGTAAATTCTACCTTACAACTGCTGCTTATTTGCAAGCCGATTTGGGTGCCCCCATAGCCAGCTGCTTGCTGTGGCAGCACTTGGCAGGTTTAAGTGGTTGTAAAGCATGGCTTGACAAATTTGCTTTGAATCTAGGGGCCAGCTAAGAAAAAAAAAAAGCTGTCCTGGTTCACACACATGCGATTCCGGACGCGTTTTCAAACTCACAGATTTGCATGACAGGCTAGATATTATGTGTTCCTTAAGGACTCTTTCACACGGGCAGACTGGTTGGACCATACACTGTTCTCTATGGGGGGAGCGCAGATGAGATGGTTCACACAGACCCACACACATTGCGTTTTGAGTGTCTTTCTGAAAAGGGTCCTGTGAGTTTGCGGTGCTGCGTTCCAGACTCACAAATGAGAGAGCAGAGCAGCACTCAGTGGGGGGCTGGAGTAAGTGTTCATACAGGATTGCTAATGACAGGAGTTTTTGGCACCAGTCAGTGGGAGGCGGCTGCGCACCAGACTCAGTGGGAGGCGGCTGCGCACCAGACTCAGTGGGAGGCGGCTGCGCACCAGACTCAGTGGGAGGCGGCTGCGCACCAGACTCAGTGGGAGGCGGCTGCGCACCAGACTCAGTGGGAGGCGGCTGCGCACCAGACTCAGTGGGAGGTGAGAGAGAGAGCTGACAAAATGGAATCTATAATGAAATTGCACATAAAACGGAATGACATTGCGATTTCGGTACATGTGTGAACCCAGGTGCCAGGATGCAATGTCTGGTCGCCATGGTGACCTGGGATTTCTCAAGCCCTGTTGTAGACAGAAGGTTTTTATTTTTACCGGTGGGATGGCCCCTCCCCCTGCTTGGAAAAGCAATCCTGCGGCTAATGAGCCACTTGGATTGCTTTTCCAAGAAAGCTGACCGCCTGCTGAGGAAAACGACTTAATGATGGGTGCCGTACTGGTACATGGCCTGGTGTGCAGCACTTACACACATCTATACTGTCAGTGATCAGTATGCTGGAACTTTCCTGCTAGGATACATACATGTAACATTCTTACAGCCATGTGAGGCCTTAGGAAGGGTTATAACTGCCTGTTGTCCCATAGCGACAACAGGCAGTGAGAGGGAATCCCTCAGAAGTGAGGGAATCTCAGGGTGTCACCAGAACTGTGTCCCCATTGGAGGGTTTCCACTATACTCCTGTGCTGGCGA